AGGCCAGCATTGCCAGACCTAGGAAGTAAAGTGTGTCCCAGAGTGACTGACAGTGCTCAGTAGGTGGTGCCAGACCCCAAAATCTGTGCTTTTATTTCCTTTTGTTTTTCTTTTAGACACACAAGCAAGCACGGGGATATAATTTAGCCTCACTCTATATTAAAAGAATAAAAGCTTTGACCTAAAGAAACATTTTTTTTTTTTTTTTTTTTTTTTTAATTTTACATGTATGAGTGTATTGCCTGCATGTGTGTCATGCAATGCCTGTGGAGGTCAGAAGAAGGCAACAGATTCCCTGGAACTGGAGTTGTAGACGGTTGTTAGCCGCCATGTGGGTGCTGGGAATTGAACCTGAGTCCTCTGTAAGAGCAGCCAGTGCTCTTAACCTCTGAGCTATCTCTTCAGCCCAGTTACCAGTATCTTACATAGGTATAATGACAATTAGAGTATATCATAATGTATTAAATTTGTGTGAAGGTCGAATTTGTTCCAAGCAAATAAGACTTGTTTATTTGAAGCATGGTCTTCACCAGTAAATTTGTCATTGACTCCTAAATCCAAATAAACTTCAGAACTTATAATTTTCTTCAACAAAAAAGGAAAAGGAAAGCTGGGTTAGCACTTGGGAGGCAGAGGCAAGTGGATCTCTGAGATTGACTACAGGAAGATCCTGCATCAAAAAAAAAAATTTCAAATTTCTTTTGAGCTGAATAGCTCAGTCAATAAAGTGCTTCTCACAAGGACTTCCATTTGATTCCAGAACCCACATTTTTAAAAAGCTAGGCATAGTGACACATGGCTTATAATCCCAACACATACTGGGGAGGCTGGATAGGCAGATGAATGGAGATTTCGGGCCAGTTAGTTTACCCAAATCACTGAGTTCAGTGAGAGGCTCCATCTCAAAAACCAGAGGGACTGGAGAGATGACTTGACAGTTAAAAGCACTTCCTGCTCTTGTAGACACCTGTGTTCAATTCTTAGCACCCATCTGACAGACAGTTCCATTGTCCTCTTCTGGCCTAGGCACTGCATATACTGGTACACATACATACATGCAGGCAAAACACACAAAATAAAAATGATAGAAGATGCTTTACACCAACCTCTGACCTCCATGAGCATGTGCACAGACACATGCATGAGAAATTAAAGCAGAGTGTCGTGTTGGGTGCCTGAAATGTCCCAGTGCATGGGAGGTTGAGGAAGGAGGATCAGGAGTTTGAGGCCAGCCTGGGCTATGCAAAAATGTCTTATAAAATCCCCAGGAAATTCCAGGTATGGTGGCCCACACCTTTAATCCCAGCACTTGGAAGGCAGAGGCAGGCAGACCCCATTTCCCAAAAATAAAAAAAAAATAAAATCCCAGGAGAAAAAAGACAAAGTATGCCTTTGTTTTAATGATTCATTGCTCTTTTGAAACAGATTTTGTGCCATCCCTACCGTGATCTTTGTATGACTGATATTTTTCCTTATCTTTGATTTGGCCAGCAAAGCCCAGATGAGCCCTTGAGAAGCAGAAAGGTATTTGTTGGGCGCTGTACAGAGGACATGACTGCTGATGAGCTTCGACAGTTCTTCTGTCAGTATGGAGAAGTAGTAGATGTCTTCATTCCCAAACCATTCAGGGCTTTTGCCTTTGTTACATTTGCAGATGATCAGGTATTTTTCTTAATTTGTTCTGGGGACTAGGAATATAAAGTGTTGAAGGACGTGTTTAGTGTGATGTAGACAAGGTTCTGGGTTCAAGTCCCAGCACAAAAATGATGAAAATTATTTGTTCCAGGTGATTGCCGCATTGTTTATTCATGGTAGAGTATGTCGGTTTAGGTATTGGTGAGATGCTTTGTAGATATTTCTCATTATATGGCCTTTGGGAGTGTTTTCAAGTCTTGAAAATAGGAAGATTTCTGTTACTAAAGCTAAAAGCTGCTGACACAGTTTAAATGAAGCGAGCCTGTTTTTCTATGTTTGGATGGATTATGCTTAAGATGTAGGTTTTATTGGTGTAAGAGTCAGTGGTTTAATCATCCACATTCCTTGTTTCTTGTAGGTTGCCCAGTCTCTTTGTGGAGAAGACTTGATCATTAAAGGAATCAGCGTGCATATATCCAATGCTGAACCTAAGCACAATAGCAATAGACAGTTAGAGAGAAGTGGAAGATTTGGTGGTAATCCAGGTGGCTTTGGGAATCAGGGTGGGTTTGGTAACAGTAGAGGGGGTGGAGCTGGCTTGGGAAATAATCAGGGTGGTAATATGGGTGGAGGGATGAACTTTGGCGCCTTTAGCATTAATCCAGCAATGATGGCTGCAGCCCAGGCAGCACTGCAGAGCAGTTGGGGCATGATGGGCATGTTAGCCAGTCAGCAGAACCAGTCAGGCCCATCAGGTAATAACCAGAGCCAGGGGAACATGCAGAGGGAGCCAAACCAGGCGTTTGGTTCTGGAAATAACTCTTACAGTGGTTCTAATTCTGGTGCCCCTCTTGGTTGGGGGTCAGCATCAAATGCAGGGTCAGGCAGTGGTTTTAATGGAGGGTTTGGCTCAAGCATGGATTCTAAGTCCTCTGGCTGGGGAATGTAGACAGTGGGTTATGGTTGGGTGGTGTGGGTCAGTGGTCGGTTGGTTGGTATAGAATGGTGGGAATTCAAATTTTTCTAAACTCATGGTAAGTATATTGTAAAATACATATGTACTAAAAATTTTCAAAATTGGTTTGTTCTGTGTGGAGTATATTCAGCAGTATTTTTGACATTTTTCTTTAGAAAAAGAGGAAGAACTAAAGGAATTTTATAAGTTTTGTTACATAAAGGGTTAAAATACTGAGTGGCTGAAAGTGAACTGTTGTTTGCCTGATTGGTAAACCAACACACTACAATTGATCTCAAAAGGTTTCTCCTGTAATATTCTGTCCTTGGACTTAAGTGAATTCTTTGCATGTTCAAAGTAGAAACCATTGGTTAGAACTACATTCTTTTTATTTTAATTTGAATCCCACCGTATGGATTTTTCCTTAGGAAAATCTCCTTTTGGGAGATCATGATGTCACGATGTTTGGTTCTTTTGGTTTTGTTTTAACACTTGTCTTCCTTCATATATAAAAGTACAATATGAAGCCTTCATTTAATCTCTGCAGTTCATCTCATTTCAAATGTTTATGGAAGAAGCACTTCATTGAAAGTAGTGCTGTAAATATTCTGCCATAGGAAAACTGTCTACATGCTTTCTCATCCAAGAATTCGTCATCACGCTGCACAGGCTGCGTCTTTGACGGTGGGTGTTCCATTTTTATCCGCTACTCTTTATTTCATGGAGTCGTATCAACGCTATGAACGCAAGGCTGTGATATGGAACCAGAACGCTGTTTGAACTTTTGAAACCTTGTGTGGGATTGATGGTGGTGCCGAGGCATGAAAGGCGAGTATGAGCGAGAAAAGGCGAGCGTGCAGAGACTTGGTGGTGCAAAATGGATATTTTTTAACTTGGCGAGAGGTGTCACTCAATCCTGTGCTTTGGTGAGAGTGTGCAGAGAGCAATGATAGCAAATAATGTACGAGTGTTCTTGCATTCAAAGGACATCCACATCTGTTGGAAGACTTTGAGTTTTGTTCTTAGAAAACCCACTTTAGTTGAATGTGTTAAGTGAAATGATACTTGTATTTCCCCTCCCCCTCTGTCAACTGCTGTGAATGCTGTATGGTGTGTGTTCTCCTCTGTTACTGATCTGTAAGTGTGGGAAGGTGAACTGAAGCTGTGGGCTGAGAACATGGACTGAGCTTGTGGTGTGCTTTGCAGGAGAACTTGGAAGCAGAGTTCACCAGTGAGCTCAGGTGTCTCAGAAGGGTGGAGTTCTCATGTCTGTTAGCTACCCCTAAGAATGCGGTTTGCTGCAGTTCTGGGTCCTGTGCTTGGATGCTTTTTATAAGAGTTGTCATTGTTGGAAATTCTTAAATAAAACTGATTTAAATAATATGTGTCTTTGTTTTGCAGCCCTGAATGCAAAGAATTCATAGCAGTTAATTCCCCTTTTTGACCCTTTTGAGATGGAACTTTCATAAAGTTTCTTGGCAGTAGTTTATTTTGCTTCAAATAAACTTATTTGAAAAGTTGTCTCAAGTCAAATGGATTCATCACCTGTCATGCACTGACACCTGATACCCAGACTTAATTGCTATTTGTTCTTGCATTGTCCAAAGTGGAAGTTTTTTTGTTGGGTTTTTGTTTTGTTTTTTAAAATCTAGATTTTAATAAGTCTGGGTGACCGCACCTAAAATGGTAAGCAGTGCCCTCCAGCCTTTTCTTAGTGCCTCTGTGCATTTGGGTGATTTTCTATTTGCGTGGCCTGTATAAATCTCCATTGGGAAACCACGACTTCTAAACATACTATTTGGAGAGTGGGCAGAACAATGTTATTTCCAAATGCTTTATAGCAAAGCATATCAATTGAAAAGGGAGGATGATCAGCACCTTTCTGTTCGGGATTTAAAAAGTGGAATTAATTGCAATAGGGATGAAGTAGAAGAAACCACAAGAAACCTTGTGCCTGAAACCCATTTAAGAAGCCTCATAGCTTTAAGAACTAGTAGGGTGGGTTGTCTATCTGTGGTGGCTTTGCACTCTGGAATGTGGGGGCATAGAGTCATGTTGAACATATTTGCTCACAAAATCAGATTAGACTCTCACAATGCATTGTTAAGAATGTAAAAGCAATAATATATTGTACTTGTTATGTAATTTTGAGAATTGATGAGCTCCTTTTCTAATTGGAAGAATATGACAGTTTTTGTGTTGATAGTTTGCCTAATGCCCTTACCTAAGTAGATTATGATAAATAGGTTTGTCATTTTGCAAGTTTCTCGTGTTTTGAGAATTTATAAGTGAGGTCATCCTTTAGATTTGTGATTACCACGTTTCCTAACTCCTTTTCCTCTGTAAAAGGATCTTGAGTTGTAAATTTTCTTTTCTCTGCATCTAAATCTGCATGATTTCCAAACCCTGTACCATCTGAATTTTGCATTTTAGCACTTGCACTATTACTCAGCAGCAGTAACATGGTAGCACTTAAAATGGTTTTCGGTTTTCGGGACCTCCACAGACTAAACTGGCAAGCCGGCAAGGAGCCCTGGGGTAAGTTAACTTGTCAATGGCATGGTTTTAATCCCTTATTTACACTTGTTAAAGGTTGCCTATCCTGGAAAGCTTTCAGTGTTGAGTAGCCGCTTTTTTTTTTTTAACATGTCTATAGTACTATGTAGCCATAGATAGTTTCTACCCTAAACAAAGTTTTAGAAATAAACTCCTTGGCAAAAATTTGTTTTTGAAAGTCTATTTGGTCATCAAAATGCATTCATTCTAAAAATTCTTTGAAACACAGTTGAATAAAAAGTTTTGTTGCCACCAACAGCTTAGTGTCTGGAGTCTTACTGGAAAAGTATGATTTCTATTTCATATGTAACAAAGATGCTGAAAAGTTACTTTTAAAAGTGAATCTTAACCAGGCGTGGTGGCATGCCCCTTTAATCCCAGCAGCAAGCAAAGGCAGGCACATCTCTGAGGTGCAGGCTGGCCTGGTCTAGGGAGTTCTAGGCCTAGAACTCTGTCTCATATATAAAGTGAGTCTTGTATATGAAAGATGTAGAGGATCGCAGTAGTTCCATCGTTTAAAAAGTGAGTCTTAAGAATTTGTATATGCCCAAGAGAAAGCAGGCCAAAACTGGCAATGAATTTCTACATATAATGGTAGCTGACTAGACAGAACTTTCTGAAATGTTATGTACTAAAATAAGAGCCAAGTAAAACCAAATGGGATTTTTTTTTTTTTTCTTTTGAGGTTAAATCAGCATCTTATCAAGTTAGGCAGTTTACTCCAGCAATTTAATTATGTCACTGTTTTGTTGTTAAGTGCTAGGAGAGTTAAGTATAATACATGAGTTCAAATCTTTACCCTATTTTGACTTTACCTGTGCCCAAGTAGCTCGGGCTCACTGGTAGCCAGGTGGCAGCTCACATCTTTAACCCCAACACTTGGAGGCAGAGGCAGACAGATCGTTGTGAGATCAAGGCCAGATATAGTGGCCCACACCTTAATTCCCAGCACTTGGAAGGCTGAGGCAGACAGGAATAGTGAATTTGAGGTCGGCTTGGGCTACATAGATTGTCTTTTAAAAATAATAATAGTGGAGGTGCTAGTTGGTAGCATGCTTGACTGGCAGGTACAAAACCTTCATTCCTGTAATCCCAGTGGTCAGCACGTGGTTACAAAAGGATAGAAGTTCAAGGTATCTGTAGAATATGTGAGGCAGTGAAAAACCAGAAAGATTGACTGAATTGCCCTCTTAAAGGGTGAAATACTGTTGTTCCTTTGGCTAACAATTTAGTAAATGAAAATTGAAGGCTGGCTGTGGTGGAGCATTCCTGTATTCCCAGTGCTCTGGGGGTGGGAGCAGGATCAAGAGTTAAAGATCATTTTTGGTTCTGTGAGACTGTCCCAGAAACATTTAACTTTTTTTGGTACTGATTTTTAATGGGGAAATCATACCCAGTCCAAAAAGGAAGTAGATGTATGTATCCGTTACTCTGAAATTGATACTGCTACAATATGTAAAATAACTTTAGAGCTCAGTGAGGAACACATCTAAAAACACTAGGAAAGTGAACAGAGAACACTTCGCAGAAATGGGAACAGCCAGTAAGAGAATTAGGTAGACTTTGGAAGTAGTCAAATGCAGGGAGTTTATGTTGGGTGGGAGAGGCACTGACCGCTGTGCTGAATAGCTTGAACCCACAAGGTTGGCCTACTGGCCTCTTGTTTTGGAGTAGAGCAAAACCTGTTAATGTTTCTCAGGGTCCGTTACTGCTAAGATCTTTCACCAGTACTAAAAAGGGGATTATTTACTGATAGAAGACGTGCAAGTTAAAAATTATTTATTATGTTCTCGATCCAGGGAATATAGTTAATGACTTTTGTATATACACCATACTGATCTGCTTCCCCACAGTTAATGGAACCCCAGGACACTATTCCTCCCACAAACCATCGCTGTGTCTGGTTATCTAGAAACGCTAGTGCCCCTCCACTGTCCCCTCTACAGCTATCCTTGCCCCCGGTTTCCAGACCAGCACAGAGCATGTTGGCAGTCACTTTTCCTCCAGGGTAGAGCTGCTTTTCATAGGCAGCGGTACATTTGTGGTGGTCAACAACTGGTATGTCCACAAACATGAGATTTCTAGCTGGAAAGCCCTTTTGGGTTAACCCCCAACCAGACACTGTTCCAATGTTGTCTGTCCTCATTAAGGATGCAGCTTCTTTTTTAGGCAGGCAGATAGGTGTGATGTTTCTATTGAGTGCAACTTTGTTCTTCAGTTTAATCAGCGCTATGTCATTGTCAAAGCCAGCACTGTGAGTGTACTCTTCGTGTATGAAGATCGCCTCTGCCCAGGCTCGGGTATAATGAGGTGATAGCCTTTTCAGGGCGCCCATGCGAATGTCCAGGGAGGGTGCGGCCTCTTTTTCCGCATATATGGCATGAGCTGCTGTTAGGATCCAGTTGTCATATAAAAGCGCACCTGCTGCCGTAGCACCACCCAGTAACAAGACTTGCCAAGGAAAGTCACCAGGCTTTGCATTTTGCCCTCCAAATATACGACCTCCTGTACTGCGGGCGGACAGTCCACAAACTGAGGAAAGAAGCCAAAATCCAGAGCCTTTATAGAAGCCCATCCTGTCTAGGCATGTGGGTCCCCGGTGTTAATTAGCTCCTCAGAGAATGAGATGAGCAAAAAAAATACTTTTTTTTTTTTTTTTGGGTTTTTTTTAAAAAGCCTAATGGCAAAGATGGGGTGGGGGGGGACAGGGTGGATAGGAGTGTGAGATGAGACAGTGCTGTGTGGAGGGCCTCTGCACTGTTTCTGTTTTGTGAATGGATTTATTAGCAATTCTGGGAAAGCCAGAGCCTATTGTTAAAATTTGAGAAATGATTTACCTTTGAAGGTAGAAATGTCTAAAAATTAGACCATTGCAATGATAGACTTCCCTGTTGTGAAATTGGTGGTTTTGGTCTGGTTGATTCTACCAAACTGAATTTTACTGTGTCTTTATAGCCAACTAATTACAGTCATTAATGTAGCATATATGTTTCCTACTATGACAGTGTACTTTGATTAAAATTTTGGGTTTTTTTTTTTTAACCTCAACTATTGGAGACAATTCTGATTTAAGAAATTTTTAAGTAGTATTAGAAGGCAAATTGCATTAATGTTTAAAAACCTAGATGTCATTGAAAACAATTGCTTAGGGAAATAATGAAGTTATTAGCTTTGGGTTTTAATAGCATTTTTACAGGGAATAAAAGTAACTGAAGAACTCATGTTTATAAATGTACAAATGGTTTGAGATAATTTAAAAATCATTTAATTTTTTATGCTTACCTCATTATCTAAGGTCAGAAATAATCAGATAAGTGATGCAGTCAGCACCTAACCACCTCCACATGCAAAGGGGTAATGAGTGTGCGATTTGGAAATAATAACTTAGTCTAAGAGCTAGATGCTGCCTACCCCAGCCAAAGTGCTGCCCATTGTCTCCCACCCGAGCTCCTCTCCCTCTGTTCTGAATCTCTGGTGTAAATGTATCCATTACCAGGCTCGCAGACGGGGGGAGATTTTTCTCCTTTGGAGCTCGTCCAGAATCCATCAGCCTCACACACATATTTACCTGCAAATCATTGGAAAAACAAAAATGTTTAACTGGCTGTCGTGTACTTGGATACCCTCTTGAAAAATGTTGATTCTTGAGCATCTGTGGCGGGAAGAGGTGTGTGAAGAACCATTTTACATGATTTCATAAATAGGAGGTCTCCGCATTACTGTGTTTGCTTGCAAAGTGGAAACCTTTTAGATGTGTAACTTGAATATGTATCAAGATCTCAAGTGCTTAATGATAAGGTTTTGACTTGTTAAATTAAACCATTTGGAATATATTGTGTGTTTGTAGTAGTCATTTACTAGATAAGATCTGTTTTCTGATTCCCACAAATTGACATTAAAGTCATTTTAGCTACAGTACTTCACTTAGCAGGTGGGAGAAGAGCCTTTAATCCTTCATCTCCCTTAGCCAGAAGTGTAGGATCAAGTTTACATTTCAGTCCTGAGGGCTCAAGTCCAGATATCACCCACCCTGTCCTCCCTCTCAGGAATTTGCTTGCTTACCATTGTTGTGTCTCATTGTGTAGAAAGTCTCTTGACAGCTGTACTGAATCACTGCTTTGTAGGTGGTCACCTCGAGGCCTGTGATGTATTCCACGTGGCCATTGGGTAGGTCATCAGGAGGTCCACAGTCGACAACTAGGAAGGAAATGTAGGACTGCCATTGAAAATCTGCACAGGCTGGAGATACGTGCCTCAGTGGTCTGGTGCTTGCATAGCAGAAGTAAAGCCCTTTCTTGTCTTCAGCCCTGATGGGTGAAAAGGTGTGGAGACTGAGCATCTAATGTGGAGCGATAGATGGGCGTTGTGCATGCGGACAGCATTATATTAATGCCACCTCTGTGTGGCAAGAATGGCTTTAGCTTGGTGGGAAGCATTGCCCCACATACTGCTCCTGGCTACAAGCCCGGTGAAGGGAGGGGATGGTCTCTCCAAGGTAAGGGATTCCAAACCACTTTGGAGGCTCCTTAGCTCTCACAGGACACGGTCACACAAAGGAGGAAAGCCATTGTGTTGTTTGCCTGTTACTGCCGCACTTTTCACGGCTTGAACTTTAGAAACCTTGGAGTGTTGAGTACTCAGACCTTGAATTTGGACACGGGTCTTAAGACATTACTAATGGGAAGTAACTGCGTTTTGTAAAAGGGACTGAGTGGTTTCTAAAAGTCCTTTGCAAAGTAGACAACCAGAAATTGTTTCTACTGTGGGCATTAAACATTTGCCTGTCATGTCTCATTACTTTTAGTCCCAGCACTCAGGAGGCAGAGACAGCTGGATTTCTGAGACAAGGCCAGCCTGGTCTGCTCAGGGAGTCCTGGGCTAGGTCCAGCTACAGGAAGGCCCTGGCTCTCCCCTTCCCCAAGCTCCACCCGCGCCCCCCCCCCCCAAGACATTGAAATACTTTACAGCAACCTATCAGCTGTGTGCCTGGCTGCTGCCACAGGTGCACAGCAGGCGGTGGCAGGGTCTGGGTTCAGACTCCCACTGTCAGCCTCACGTCAACTGGACTGAATTAGTAAGCTCATTGGTGAGAGTATACATTCATAAAAATACTTTATTTCTTCTAGGAGCTTTCTTTACAGAGGTGTCAGTCGTGGCTGTGTGTGGTGGGTGCTAGGAACAAGAAGTGGTGGGATAAGATAAAACCAGGGCACGGACAGTGCAGTGCCCTTTTCACACCTGCTAGCCAAGTGAAGCTTGCTACGGAGCTGCACCTGCAGACTTCGTGGTAGTTTGAGAAAATGGACAAGAGCTTTCCACTGAGTTTTGGAAGTTTCTATTTTCAAATAACGTGTACTCTCACAGTTTAGTACTGAAAATACATAATTGAGATATTTCTGATTCTTCGTTTTCAAAATGGCATCGAGTACCATTATTCCTTTATGTGTGCATAAATGAGTGTGTCTGTATACAACAGCACAGAACTGCCCCCATCCCAACATTTGGTATGTTCACAGGTTGGGGTGCATGTAGTTGGAGGGATGGACACCTGAACACACAGTGGCCTAGTTCACGTGTGATATTTCTGTCTGCAGGGAGCAGTATTTTTTTTTTTTTTTTAAATTTCTTTGGTCTTAAGCCCCAGCTGGCCTGGAACTCAATATGTAGACCAGGCTGGCCTCAAACTCACAGAGATCCACCTGCCTCTGCCTCCCAAGTGCTGGAACTACAGGTGTGCACCACCACACCTGGCAGGGAGCAGTATTTCACACTTGATTGTCCCCAGTAGTTCTTGACACTGAGAAGCACGTTTGGAACTCGAGCCCTGATAAACCAGATCGTTTGGTGGGGGAGGGGAGACTGACTAGTGAAGCTACAGAAATAATACAGGTGGGGTGGGGAGATGGCTCAGTAGGTAAGCATGCTTGCTATGCCATCACAGGACCCAAGTTCAAGTCCCCAGCACCCATGTAAGAAACCCAGCATGGTTGTGTGTGTGTCACTCCAGTGCTGGGAGGAGTGGGGCAGAACTGAACATCCCTGCAGAATGCCCAACATCCTCTGACCTCAAATGCATATCCAACACAAAAAGTACAGGTGGTGGTGGGAAAGGGAATTGTCACATGATCGTACTGCTGCACTCTGGCATCGGTTGGTCCCAAGATCCATCTCTCTGACAGACAGCTACAAATGATTTCAGGGGTGCAGAACCCTGAGGAAGAATTCAGAAAGTGAGTTACCACCAGGTCAGTCACTCCCTAGAACTGGGTTCCTACAGTGCTTCCCAGGGTTCCCAAGTTGGGGAGACAGCAGTGTGGCAGACATTGCATGTAGCATGGTGGCAGAGGTTGCATTTTGACATGTACTGGCAAAAGCTCTGCCGGTTTATGTCACCCAGTTATGTACCTCAACTTTGAAAATGTTGGCATCTTATGAATTAAATATTAACCTTTGCTTCGGTTTGTAATATGTTCTGCTTCCCAGTGTATCCAATCCGATTTCTGACCTGGAAGTCCCTGTTCATGTTCTTTCTTTTCCTTTGTGGCACTACTCCAGCCCCTCCACCATTAAGAGCCAAGTTCAGTCCCCAGCACTCCAGGTGCCGTGGCTCACAACCACCTGGAATTCTAGCTTCAGGGGATATGACACCTGACCTCTGAGCACCACACACGATTAAAAGACTTGTTTTGTTTTTGTTTTTTTTAAGTTTTGTGTGTGTGTTTTGCATGCATGTATGTTAAATGCACCATATGTATTCATTGCCCCTGGAGGCCAGAAGACGACGTCAGAACTTGTGGATGGTTGTTAGCCACCATGTGGGTGCTGGGAACCACACTCTGCAAGAGCTTCTTAACCACTGAGCCAGCTCTCTGGTACCAAAATAAGGTTTTTTTTAAAAAAAAAATTTAAGTGCCAGATGACAAGGAGGATCACGGTGAGATGACTCGGCAGGTAAAGGTGTTTGCTGCCAAGTCTGCAATGTGAGTTTGATGTCTGGAACCCACATGGTAGTAGGAGATAACCAGCTCCAAGTTGTCCTCTTTCCGCACATGTACCCACATTCAAAAATAATTTTTTAAAACGGGCTGGAGAGATGGCTCAGCGGTTAAGAGCACTGACTGCTCTTGCAGAGAACCCGGGTTCGATTCCCAGCACCCACATGGCTACAAACCATCCTTAACTCCAGTTTGAAGCCCTCTTCTGACCTCTGTGGCATTGCATGACACGGGTGCACTCACATACATGCAGGCAACACACTTGTACACATAAAAAAATTTTTGACATGTGGCACTCAGGAGGAAGAGCCAGGCAGATGTCTGTGAGTTCAGAGGCTAGCCTGATCTGTGTAGCCAGTTCCAGGCTGTCTGGGGCTACCCTGTCTTTATAAATAAAGACATAGAAGCTGTATGGTTCAAAGGATATCAAGAATTTTTTTTTTTTTTCAGTTAAATGGAAGCAGGCTGGAGATGTAGCTTGGTTGATGGAATGTTTGTCTAGCCATGGTGGAGCATGCTGGTAAACCTGTAATCCCACCACTTGGGAGGTGGAGACAGGAAGATCAGGACAAGGTTATCCTCAACTATATACCAAATTAGGCCCAGCCTGGAGGTTTGCAAGGTGGAAGCTTCCCAGTTGTGGCCCTCCACAGACTGCATAGCTATCACTTAAGTGTTATTGCTTTTGACCACTGGGATTCAGTGACAATTGTGAAGAACATAAAGAGGGCCCGTTAATTTCTTACCTGTGCCCCTAAAGCAACATGCTAAGCAACTTTTAAAATGATACTCCCTCAACAGTGATCACTATTTATAACTTTGCAGAATATACTCTTTCCAGGGCTACCTAATTTTTCGTGGGTCCTGGAGTTGTTTCACAGGAACGTTATCAGTTGACCAGGGAAGACCTTAATTTACACCAGAAGCTACTGCAGCATGGAGCTAGGTTAGCGGACTCCTTTCTGATGTTTCAGCCACTCTATAAAGAGCTGCTATAATGTGCAGGTGGACAGAAAAGTTTCCTATTTTAATGACCAGCTTTCTATAAGAAGTTCTTTAAAAGGCACAGGCTTGGGGTGGTAGACATCCAAATCTAGCACGCACAGGGTCCTGGGTTCAGTTCTCAGCACCAAGATAACTTGAAGATCTGGTAGTGCACACCTGTAATCCCAGCTGAGGAGGGAGGTCGTGAGTTTGAAAGGCCAGTCTGGCTACATAGTGAGGCTGCTTCGAAAAATGCAAAAAAGTGGGGCATGGTGGCGCACACCTTTAATCTCCGCAGGGGCAGAGGCAAGCGAATCTGAGTTTGAGGCCAGCCTGGTCTACATAGGGAGTTCCAGGCCAGCTGGGGCTACAGGAGGACCCTGTCTCAAAACAAGACAAAGTATGGGGGCCAGAGAGATGGCTCAGCAGTTAAGAGCTCTTGCAGATGACCTGGGTTAGATTCCCAGGACCCACATGGCTGCTGACAACCTTCCCTAACTCCAGTTCCAGGGAAATCCAACACTCCCTTCTGACTTCTGCGGCATTGCATGACATGGATGCACTTTACACACAGGCAATACACTCATACACATAAAAATAATTTTTAAAAAAGTTGTAGAAGCTGTATGATTCAAAGGGTATTTTTTCCAATTAAATAGAAACAAGCTGGGGGGGGGGGGTAGCTGGGTTGATAGAATATCTCCAAACAATTTTAAAAGGCAGAACTACATGAGGTAGCATATGCCCATAATCCAACATTTGGGAGGTGGAGGCAGGAAGATCTTGAATTTGAGGCCAAACTAGACTGCATTGCTCCAGGCCAGACTGTCTCAGACAAAAAAGGTAGATTCCCCCCCTCTGACCCCCCGAAGAAAAGATTCACCGTGGCCATCTCTCTTGTCTGATGTGAAGGTATTCTTTGATTTTTTTCTCCCGCCTAAGCACTGATGGAAGTAACTCCTGTGCTGGCCCAGCCCCTCCCACTTCTGTCTGTCCCTTGGGCACTTAGTTTTGACTCACTCTCAGAAGCTCATAGCCAGTGTTAGACAAAAAAGGTAGATTCCCCCCCTCTGACCCCCCGAAGAAAAGATTCACCATGGCCATCTCTCTTGTCTGATGTGAAGGTATTCTTTGATTTTTTTTCTCCCGCCTAAGCACTGATGGAAGCAACTCCTGTGCTGGCCCAGCCCCTCCCACTTTTGTCTGTCCCTTGGGCACTCAGTTTTGACTCACTTTCAGAAGCTCATAGCCAGTGTCGCAAAAGATGGAGAAGCTGTCTTTCAGGATGTACTTGGCTTGCACAGGTGAAATGTAGCCATTAGGTGGCGCCATAGGATCAGGGCATGGCTGCGCTGTATAGAGGATACCAGACATTGGTTTGGGTGTGATCTGTAGCTGCCAGGTCCGAATTTAGCAATGCAAAGTTCTTGGTTGGTAAATGAAGTGTAAAGAGAGCCTGCCTCAAGTTCTTAACATTGAACCCCGAAGACAAGATGGAACTCAGTAGTCGCTTGCAAAAATAAGACTTGTTCCTTTGTCTGGGACTCAGCTGCAGGTAGGTAAGAAATCCAGATATACAGAATTTACTTGGCTTGAAACCAAAACAGTAACCCCTAAAGGAAGAGCAAGGCTCTGTGGGTGTAAATGACAGCTCCTGGGGCTCGGGTGGCTTTCCTCTGGACTCCTGCTATGCCCAGCACTTGGCTGAGCTTGCCACGGGGTTATAACTATGTCCCCTACTGGTTGAGACCGACTGTGGGAACTGTAGCTTCTACATTTGATACACATTTTTTAATGTGCTGGCGGTTGAACCCAGGGCCTTATGCATGCTAGGTAGGCACTTGACCACTAGGCTGCATCCTCACCCCTTTTTGGTACAGATCTTTAGGAATGAAAGATGGGTGGGTGGATGGTTAGGTGGATAGGTAGAAGGTGGCACAGACTTATAATCCTAGCACTTGGGAGAACAGCTTGGGCTACAAAAAAATGGGTTTGGGGCCACCTGACTTACAGAGTGAGACCCTATCTCGAAATGCCAGAATTGAGGAAAAAGGGGGAAAGAGTTAGATAATTAGATGGTTGAGTGGAGGGACAAGGAGAAGGGGATGTTGCTATTTCCCCTTAAGGACCATTGCTTCCCAGACCACCCTACTCCGCCTGGGCTCCCTTCCTAGACCTGGCCGGGAAAGTCTCATCCTATGTAGCTCATTGGCACTGCAGAAGAGACAAGCTCGCAGCCTCCTGCCTGGACCTGAGAGCTGCCGGCTCACCTGTGCTTGTGTAGCGCATCTTCCAGCCTGTGTGGTCTCCTGATTCATCAGTGACAAAGGTGATGGTCACATTGTTGCTCTCTGTTTCAATCCTGTGGGGCAATGTCTTCCCACAAAATGGGCCATATTCCCCCTTGTCTGTTTGAATCTGAATGAGGAAAGGCCCTGAGCCCCCAGGACCTGCTGCAGGGGTCCTGCCTGGGTAGCAAACTGTGACTGGGGACAGAAGGTGAGTGTCCTCTTCCTCTGAAGCCACAGCCCAGCTTAGACTCCCCATGAAGTGGCTGAAGGGGCTTGACTGAGGGAGAGAGATGGAATATAGGGGTGATGCTGAAAAAGATGGAGGTCACAGAGGAAAATGAGGCCTTGGGAGCCATACCTTGAGGGAGTCATAGGGGCACTGGACTTCAGGATGCATCTCCACGTCAAAAGACCCCACGAATTCCAGGATGACACTGAAGCCTTCCTCCAAGTGGATGCTGTAGGTGCAGCTGGAGAGTTTGGGATATGGCTGTGGGTACTCTGGGCTACTCAGCTCCCCGGATCTCCTGGAGAACACCTGACCTGAACACAGGGCTGGGAAGGGAACAGGACAGGGTGGCATGGCTCCGTGCCCTACCGATCAGCTCTTTGCCTCTGGGGAAAAAGATGGGAAAGTGCCTGGGGCATCAATGTCCCTAGGTTTGGTCAAGGCCCTGCCCTTGAGCAGCTGCAGAGGCATGGAGGGAACCCCAGTGGGTGATGAAGGGACAGTTAGAAAGACTGTCTTGCCTCAGGTTTTGACTGAAGAAGATGGTGTCAGGGATAGCTTGCTGGGGCCCCAAATTCTCACACAAAGGAGGGCGTGGGGTATCCAGAGTAACAACCTTAGAGGTGGAGGGCATGAGGAGGGGATGCCTCACCAGAAAGAAGCAGCCCCAAAAGGTCCAGGCCAGGCACCTCCCATGAAAAAGGGAGGAGGAGGTCCCTTGAGCCCCTGGCTGCTTCCTGCTTCCATCAGAATCGCGCCATGCCCACTTCAGCAGTTCCCATTGCATCCACCAGGGGGATCCTACATGTACCTGGCAGGGACCACCACCCCAGGGCCCTTGAATTCCAGAGAACAGGTGGGAAAGACTTTTCCCAGTCCTTTCCTGGTCTAGAAGTGGCCCAGGGGTCAGTTGACGTAAGTTCACATCACCAGTGTTCACCCACAGTCTGCCCTCCTTTTCTGGGGCTGCTCACATGCCTGTCCAGCATATGAGGTCAGGATCCATCCCTCAGGATGGATCTGCCCCAACCTGCCTGCCCGG